AATTCGTTTATTATGACTCCGCCTATATTGACCAACCGCTCAATATGAAGTAAGTGTTAAGTTTGGTTTTTATATTAAATTCTCTATAGGAAAGTTTGGATATAATGACTCCATTTAAAATGACACATCATTTATTATGACTGATTCTCAAGAAATCATATCCGGCTATAGTGACCCAAATGATTAATAATAACATTTTCACTCATGTTTCTGACCCTTCTTATGTATATTGATATTACAATTCATCGTTCTTTTTCTTTTTCTGTTAATAAATATATACAATTTGTAGTTTTTCTCTATTAAACTAAATAACTAACCAAAATAGAAAGTTGTTTATTTTATAAGTCTATGCTTTGTATGACGCCCGCTTAGTATGACGTGTTTCGATGTCATTATAAGCGGATTCTACTGTATATGTATAAAAAAGAAAGATCACTAAGTTACAATAAGTTCTTTTATACTTTTTAGGATGACTAAAGTCGGTCACTTAAATTAATTTAAATATCTATCAATAATTAGGCCATTAAAAACGTTTAATCTTGTAGCAGAAACACGTGCCTGAGAGAAACGATAAAAAATGTTCATTCAATCGTGTTCTCATAATATATTAAGTGTAGTTTTACATACAATGCCTCATTATTTTTGTCGTTTAATATTTTTTTTAAATTTTCATTGTAGAAGTTCCATTTTTAAAATTACAAGTGAAACCTGTGTTTAATTCGTCTCGCCTCTACCCTCTGCATGTTTTTTTTTGGGTCTAGTTTAAATAGTGCAAAACATTTGCATTAATAAAATGTATTACTACACCATGGGTTAAATTTTTAGTAGGTGTCTACATCGCATGTAACGATTCATCAAGTTAAGTATGTAGTTCGATATTTTTACGAATTACTTTGACCATTTGGCCAGCATTTCAAAAATCAACTATTTGGTTTGGTACAGAATATCCTTAATGACAGAAAATACGAGCAGCTGTCTTGTTGGGAGTGCTTAGGGAAGTACTTTTGCATAGAAGAATTGGTCCTGCCAGAAAGACGGGACGTATGACGTTCCGTTATTACGAGGATGAGGTTTTTCCGTCAGCTGTAATCTCCAAACTGTGACACTTCATCGGTGGCTGAAAGGGTTGCTTGGCACGTATCATTTTTGCTGCTAAATTATGCAAGTTTTGATAGGGTTTAACTTATGAATTAATTGCTCTGCGAAAACGAAAATTTGTATGTGTTTCTCGGTTCCATCAAAATGAGTCAAAAGCTTAATGAACATAACTGAAGCTACCCGTTTCCGTCCTGATGGAACGACCTGTACAATCTACAATTAAACATTTTCTAGAGGAGAGCGATTCAAAAATATCTCTCATCATAGACTGTTGGTATCATTTCAGAGTGATGAAAGTAGGATTTTCCCTTAGTGCCACTCTGGACACCATAAAAAAGTCACCCCATTACCCATATTCTACACAAAATGGATCAGGGTTCAGAATACGTTATGACTTTCCACTAATTTGGATAATTATTGATTTCAGGCCGATTTTTGAAAATGCTGTAAATCCCATAAAAACCATTAGTTGATCCGTTCGATAATATTGTTGACAAATTGTTTCCGAAAGTTTTTTTTTTTATTAAAACGACATTCGAATCGAAAACGCTAATAAATATAGTGGATCGTAACTTAATAATAAGATTTTTAAGTACTTACAGCTCAAATGCGTGTTTTCGAGCGATTTGTGCTCGAAAATAACGGAAAATCTGAAGGACGACCTGCAAGGTCAATTGTTTTCATTTTTTTTGAAATAAATAAAATTTTATAATGATACATTTTTTATATAGGTAAATATATAGATTTATTGTCTTTATTTTTATTTGTAACTGTACACATTTTAAACATTTTTGATAGCCCAAAAAAAGACTCGAAATTTGCCGCCCCTGGGAATTTGTCGCCTTGGATATTAGCTCCTAGTGCCCCTAGTGTAAATCCACCGCTGTATACTATTAAATTACTTCTCCATTGTATTGATAATAATATAATTGTAACCGTTATTTCATCTTATGGATTTTCTGCCGGTGCATGGACGTATTATGACGTATGTGTGTATTACATTCATTATCTCACCTATGGAGGGTGCAAGGGTGTGCTAATTATCGCCATTATTGTTCGTAATAATATTTTTACAGTGTCTCAATACACTTTATTTTCTTGTTCTTGTTGCAATAATGATATTTATCTAACAGTAGATTAACTAACGCGAAAGGCTATGAAATGACCATGCACTTCCAAAGATTAGATGATAATTTGAATATTCGTTCAGCTACAATTGATTATAGCGTCTTACCCTTTCATGACAAGTACTTGTTGTTAGTCATGTTTTTCGATATCATAACTCCTAATTGCTTGTTTATTGAATTTACTCGTAAAGTGCAGTAGAAAATAATAAAACGTTTGAACATTACCCATTTCAATTAAAAGAACATTATCTAATAATAATTAATCAAACTTGTTTTATACCGAATACGCAAATGCGATATAATTTAACACTGAAATTAAATTGTCGCCTATTACAACTTTAAATATAAACTACAGAACGTTGGTGGACTACTTTTCTATATCTAATTCTAAGTAGATTATCAGCAATGTACAAGATTATCTACTTTAACCATTGTTATATGATTTTTTTTGTTTTACGTAAGATAAATTGTCATTATTTTATGTTCATTATCATAAGATCGTCAGTCTTAAGACTGGTTTAACACGTACCTCCACTCTTTCTAATCCTGAGCTAATCTTCGCATTTCCCTAAAACTAGAACAGTCCACATCGAACAGTAATCTAATCTAGGTCTACCTCTACCCCTCCTAAATCCCGTTTCTGTTTCTAATATTTCTCTGACTAGACCTTTATATCTGAGAAGGTGTCCTACCATCCTATCTCGCCTATTTCTTATTGGCTTCCATAGAGTCCTCTGTTCTCCTATTCTTTCCAATACCTCTTAATTTCTAACCTTCTCCATCCACCGTATCCTCACTATTATCCTGGGACACCATATTTCGAACGCTTCTAACCTTTTCTTTTCCGCCGCATCCACTGTCTATGTTTGGCACCCGTACAACGCCGTGCTCCAAACCTTCAAAAACCTTTTTCGAATTTCTAAATTAACCATTCGCGAGCATAGCAGTGACTTCTTTTTATTACAGGCGACACGATCCTGTGCTATCCTCTGCTTTATATCCCTACTACTCCTTCCGTCCTGACTTATCTAATTTCCTAGACACTTAAAATCAGCCACTTCTTCTAATTTTTCGTCTCCTATCTTTATATTCGCTTTTTTTACTACTTTTTCTTTCCTTGCATACCAGTATTTTTGTTTTACTTTTATTTTGGTCAGTACCGTTTCTATTTTATTTAAAGCTATCTCCAACTCCTCCTTGCAAGATGCTAAACTAATACTGCTACATCATCTAAATCTAAGCATACTAATCTTTTGCCCCTGTATATCTATCCCAACAGTTGTACTGTCTTTAATGATGTTGATCGCGTCTTCGATGTATAGATTAAAAAGTAGCGGGGACAGCGTGCATCCCTGTCTGACTCTCTTCCTAATATTTACTTCTCTACGTTGCATCCCCAGCTCTATAACTGCCTGTTGCTCATTATACAAACTAAGTATCACTCTTCTATCTTTGTAACTCATCCCTACCTTTTGACGTGACAACGTCTTATAATTCGATAGAGCCGGCTGCACGCACGAAAAAACNGTACCTAGATACTTAACGATTTCTAAGAAGTTTAAAATGAAGCTAAGCGTTTACTGGAACAATTTTAGTTTTAAATTTTTATCGAAAAATAAAAAACGCTTATAAGTCCAGAAAACTGAAACTAAACATTAAAAAGTTTTATCAAGGCCAACTACGACACAACGTTTTTTTAAAAATACTCTAGTTAGCCAGGTACGATGGCGTATGAACAACAAACTAAATTAACACATAATCACCTGCGATTTTTTATGTACCTACTTGTTTTAATAAATTTATTTTCGAAGTAATTAAAATCGACTACATAATTAAATACTGTATTTTTCGCGGGTTTTTAATTCATTTGTTAAGCGCGCGTTTTACCTATATATAATAATAGATGCTCGTATAACTGAAGCAGCCCGAACAAAATATAATACACAGTGAAAGTATCTGAAAGTAAAAGCTTGTTTGCCAACAATAAATTAGTTTAAACTTACCTTATTACCTATCTGATGCTGAATATCTTTGATCCAAAAATCACAAGTTAATTAATTAAATCTTTATAAAAACACCCGTATAAATGCTACGTCAATTAGGAATGTGTGGATGCAATAATTGAAACGTTGGATTGTATCAGTGACCAAACTAACTAACGTTCATTGTTAC